GCAGCAGCGGGCACCGCTCAGCGCCAGGAGCAGCGGGGACACGGGGACACGGTGTGGCACCGCACCGGCTGCAAGGACCTGCCTGAGGTGGGACGGAGTCCGCGTGGCCACGCTGGTGCAATACTCCAGGTTATGTCACGGGCCCCGAATTTCTCCCCAGTGCGCTCATCTGCTGTTTGGTGGCAAATGGCAGCATGAGGGTGGGTGCTGTGTGCTGGGCTACTGATGTACAAGCCCGGCACGGCACATGGGCAGGCAGGCGCTCGCTCCTGGCACGGGGCACGTGCTGCAGGCAGGTGAGCCAACACCGGCTGTCCGGGGGAGCAAGACGGGCCCCGATGCTACACGCAACACGGCAGGCACCGAGCTGTTACCCACATATGGCCCTCGCAGCCCTGTGCGGGCTAAGGGGGTTATGGCCACCTGAAAGCCAGAGGTGAGCATGGACAAGGCTTGCACGTCCCAGGCCAGCAGGCAGTGAGCCGGGCCAGCAGACGATGCTCTTGCAAGTCTTTTTCCCCCTTCTCGCCTACCCTTTATCAAGCACTGTTTGTGTACAATACCACAGCCCTCCGCTAGAAGGCACTTGAGGTCCGGGCTCCACTCCCTGCTCTTGCCTGAGCCTTCTCAATTAATGTAGCCCCATGCCCCAGCCAGCCTGACCCCCCCCTCCCCCCAAGACCCCCTTAGGGTGGTCACTTCCCAAAATCACCAGGCTCTACCTGCTGGCTTGAGCTCAATGCAACACAATTTCTACCCTTGCACTGCCCCATTTGCTACGACACTCATCCGGTCTTGGGCACAACGGTGAAACGCAAGGAGCTGTCGGGGTCCCCGTGGCTGTTGCCGCGTCCAGGCACTGCTGTGTGGGGAGCACGGTCAAGGCTGCGTGGATGGACGGCACATCCTACTGATGCAGGGCTGGGCGGGTTGGCTCTGCAATGCTGCTGTGTCTACTGGGTCACAGGGATGGGAAGAAAAAGCAAAGCTTTGCTGCGCACTGTTTAACCTGGCGATGACATTTCTCCTCATGAGCACTGGGGTACACCCAGGATCTGCAACATGGGGGCCAGGCTAACACCCCACATGGGAGTGTTGATACTGCAGCAGCATCCCACGGCCACAGCTGCACAGGGGAAACTCCCCCCGTGCCAGTGCAGCGCAGAGACACGACACACGTACCCACACCTGAACCCTGCTCTTGCCGCGTGTCCAGCTTGGGATACCCAAGGGGCGACCTGGGGCACAGCAGCGATGGAGGAGCTGGGTTCTTTGTGGCCAAGGACCCCAAGTCAAAAGTCGGAGCACCGTGACCTCCCCCAGCCCTGTTGCAAGGGATGGTGCAGCCAGAAGCCCTTGCCACAAGCCCCCACACAAGCACAGCGCTGCCCCATTTGTCTCCCGGCACACAAAACCACTCAAGGACAGAGAAACACTTCACCTGGAGATGGCTCCTCTGTGACAGGAGGGAGTGCAGCTCAGTGGAGATGCGCGCAGGGCTCCTCGCTGGTAGCACCGTTGCAGTGACAAGTGGCATGTGCCGGAGCCCAAACCAGCTCCTCAGGCAGAGCTGCCACGGCTCCGGGCAGGTGAGCAGCACCCCCACCCCCGAGACAACCGCCGTGCAGCACCCCAGACATGAGCCAGCCAGACACAGGTTTACAAGTGTGCTTGAAACCAGTCAAGCAAGCATTTTCTTTTTATTTCTAAAAAAAAAAAAAAAAAAAAAAAAACAGACAAAAAAAAATCCCAACCAAAAAAAAAAACCAACACCCAACCCAAAACCCCCTAAATAAAAAAAAAAAAATCAATCCCCTAACGGTGAAAGTATAGATAGGGCATTTACACAGCTACATCTATCTTCCGCTGACCCCCCACCCGCCCACAGTAATGTAGATTTATACGCGCCTACATAATACAGCGAGACACGGACAGACAAACAGGCTTCGAGAGCCCGCGAGGAGGAGCAGGGCGCAACGGGGGCCGCCAGCTTGCCAGGAATGTGCCGAGCCATGGGACAGTCCCCCCATCCCCCCACCCCCAAAACCCAGCTCTTCTATCCCAAGCCATGGTGATGTCCCCCCTCGCTGCACGCCCCGGCCTCGGGGCTGCGCTGGTGGTGGGCGAGGAAGGAGGTTGGTCTTTGGCTGATGGGGCGATGCGCCTTGTGGCCAAGCTCAGGGTACCGAGTCTCCCGGCCGCCCTCCTCCTCCTCCTCACGAGGTAGTCGGGGAGCTTGGCCACATTTGACATGCGAGGTACAGAGAGGAGGCGCAGCCTGGCAGAGGGCACGCGTGGCTGCCCAAATTGGGGGGGGGGGGGGGATATATGTGGGACAGGGGAGGGCAAAGCCCTGCCAGCCCAGTGGCTCTTGGCATCTTCCCGACTGGAGCCGTTGTCCAGCCTGCGGTCCCTTTGCAGACAGAAAAGCGGTAGGAAGGGGTAATGCTGCAGGTGTCGGCACCCTACCGAGGGTGACCCCCACCTTGGGCACTCACCCTGCCTTCTCGGAAGCTCTTTGGGAACAAGGGAGCGATCCTGTCACGCGCTCAATGAGCCAAATACAGTACTTGTGTCAGCAAAATGAAGCACTACCAGTTCTGAGGTTCAGTCTGGGAGGAAAGCAGAAATAGCCCTCATTTAGTACGGAGGTCAGAGAAATAGCATTGTCCCCTCTGAGGAAAGCCGGGGGCAGTGAGGTCTCTGAGACAGAGAAAGGAGAGACACTTCTGAGATTAAAAGGCCATTCAGCAAAGAAAAAGCAAGGACACAGCGCCATGGGGAAAGGGCACACAGCCCTTCCACCCCGTGTGAAACTGCCAGAGTGGACGGACTGGGGGGCACAGGTCCAGCCCCCTCCCCAGACACGATGGGGGCTGGATTTGGCCACTGGGCAGCTCTGGTTTAACTCTCCCTCTCCCCATTCCTTTCCAAAGCAAAAGGGTTTTACCGGAGTAAGAGATGCGCGCAGGCAAGGCAGCATTGTTCCCCCAACCCACCCTGCAACTCTCCCGGGAGCACATCAACACCTCGCAATGTGCCACGCACGGCATTTTGCTATAGGATTGGGCTGCCGATGCATTGCTTATTGCCAGCTCAGGTGAGTCAGCCCGATCGGAGGCTGATGTGCCACCAGAGAAAACCATAGGTGGGAGGGAGAGGAATCAGCTGGAGGCTGGGGTGTATGAATTCCCATGGCTAAAAATGAACCTTGGGGCTTCTGAGTATGCGGCCGAGCTGTGATGGTCAGGGCTTCTCAATCAGATCAAACCAGGGCTGGGACAAACTGCCCCATCACCCTCCCAGAATGACCCTGGCCTGAGGCACTATCATTTTCATCCTGTACGCAGACAAATGTATCTTGAACTCCACGTTTCCAGGGTAGAAAAATATGGGACAGAGAAGGAAGTGAGCGCTTTGGGGAGTGGACAACACTCCTGCAATTCTGCCAGCCTCAATTTAGAGGGGAAACTCTAATTGTTTTCAGCAGCAAAACAATGTGGCTGTGGAGCTGCGGCTGCAGTGAGACTAGAAAGGGCAACGGGGCTTGGTCAACAAGAAACCCACAGAAGCGCCAGGTTTAAAGCTCTTCCAGAGAGACAAATGTGGCCATGAATCTGCAAGTAGCCAAGCACAGGAGGGAGGAGAGCAGCACTGGGGAATGACAGCTCAGCCGCGCGTGTCCTCCTGCTGGGATAAGCAACACCGCAGGCAAGATTAGGCTTGGCGGGCAGGAATGTCAGCATGGAAAAACCCCAGGCTCTGCTCGACCTGAAGCCCCCCAGACAGCCCGCCACGCAGGATGAAATGAAAAGTACCTGGAAGACAGGCAGATGGGGTGACAAACAAGGCAGGGAGCCCCTGAGCACCAGACATGCCTCGCAACTGGTTGTGATGAGGAGCTGAACTCCCACATTCTGGATTGCACTTGATAATATCAGCACCTACTGAAGGACCCACCTCCTGGCTGCTGCCCGCCAGCCTGGGGAAGCTCTGTGGGTCGCGGGAACGCGTGGTCCCCTATTAGTCCAACAGGCAGGGCAGTCTGTGTGGGAAGGAAAGCAAAGCATCCTCTTTCCAGGGCTTTTGGGGTCACTTTGGTCCTCTGTGCTTTGCATAGTATTCTTCAGCTACCGAAGCAAAACACCTCTTGTTGTTTGATTGCAGTACTGCAAGGGAGAAGCCTGCATAGTGTCCTGGATCAGCACAGAGAAGACCTGTTGTATACGTGTGTGTGTGTGTGTATTTCTGTACATTTTGTTTTCCACCAGGAGGATGTTGAAGTTAACACTTGTCGTAGAGCGGGGAAGGACGAAGGGACGGTCCCGTGGCATGCACAGCGGGGGGAGCAAGGCACAGCCCTTATCCAGAGTGCAACACCTCTGCCGGCACATACACGCAGAGCTACAGGGACCCCGTTCTCAGCAATCATTCCTTCTTTTTGCCACATTCCATACGGCTCTGCTACACACCTGCACTGAGCAATGTGACCTACAACATTTGACGGTGACCCTGAGCCTCAGGGAAAGGCAAATCCTTTTGTGCGGCCAGATTTCCTTTGCTGGTACCACGCCACGCTTCACTTCGCTCCCTGGCTACTGCCATATTTCTTTTTAATTCCCCACACAGGTGGCAAAAATGTCTATCAAGGTCCATCTCCCCAGCACGGAGAACCGTGGTAGCCATCGTATGCCACGAAGCTTGGCCAGAGCAGCCCTGGCTGCACGGCTGGGCTGCCGGCGCTGCCACGGGAGCGGAGTGCTCAGGGGGACACGGGGAGAAGGTTGGGTGGGAGCACACAGGCGAACAGGGGAGGCTGAGCTGCTTCCTCCATGCTGCCCCCAACGGGCACCAGCTGGGATGTGTGGGATCTCAATTATTATTTCTTTTTTTTTTTTTTTTTTTTAAAGCCAGCCTCACGGAAAAATATAAATTAATCTGCTCATTAAATACTCAGGTGAGAGACCGGGGAACCTCCAGCCGTGCAAGCAGAGGAACGGCTATGGCTTCTTCCGTAAGTAATTGGAAGGGATCCAGCCCTCCCAGCATGGTCCCCCAGTCAGGACCTTGCAAAACCACCAGCCGCTGCTGTTCTTCTCACGAACTTCAAACAAAGTCCCTTCTTTAAAGCTGTTGGTCTCCTCGTCGCCTTCAAAATCTGCCACTGCCACATAGAGACCTTCCCTGGCGATGTCTGGACTGGAGACGGGGGCTGAGGTCCTCTCCTTGGCTTCCCCTCTCTCCACTGGCTTGGATATGACCTTTGGGCTTACACTGCTTTTCACTTTGGCTTCTTCTTGGACAGAGGCAGAGAGGAACGGCTTGGCTTTTGGAGGAACCAGCATGGGCCTCCCCGGCACCGGGGACGACCTGATTTCGGGTGCTTCCCGTGTCGGGGCCCTGAGCTCCGTCACGAGGCCGGGGGCAGGACCCCCTGTTTTCTTTGGGGGAGGTGGTCTGCGGGGTGGCACAACAGGGCGCTGTGGTGGGGGCTCCCTGGCTCCCGGGGTGTTTGCTGGACCCAGGGGAGATTTGGGCAACGCCTCTTTCATGGCATGGCTGTCCAGCTTGGGCAGGGGTTTACTCTCCGTGCTTGGCCGCTCCTGAAACCTTCCAGAAGCCTCTGAAGAGACCATGGCGTTACTGAAGGAGCTTTCACCAGCAGCAGTGTCCTGCTCGGAGGGTTTCTCTGGGCACTTTGCAGGTCTAAGCTTGCTTCGCAGGCTGCAAATGTCCAGTTTATCATCAGCTGGATGTGGGTCAGTTCGGGGGGCTGCAGCGGGTTTTGGCCTGATCTGAGGTCTTGACTTCAAGAATGGATTCTGGGCGATGGGCTCAGGCTTGTCCTCCACGGGCTCAGCTTTTGGCTTGGTTGGCTTGACAATGGGCCGGAGGTTTGGCTTCTTCACCTCCTTGGCTGACACCTTGTGTCCACATTCCAGTCCCATTTCGTTTTTCAGCTGGAAGAGTTTGCCCTTGTCTGGTTTCAGCTCAGGCTTCTTGATGTCCTTTGGGGCCACCGATTGCTTAGGTGGGATCATGGGCAAAATCACGCCTGGGGGCTTGGGGGGAGGCCTCTGCCTCTCCAGTAACTCGCCTTCTGATTTAATGATGGACTCCTTCCTGGGCGGCAGGCTGGGCTTCTCCTCTGTGTCGTGGTCCGCGATCTCCTCGTAGCCACCAGCAAAGGCTATGTCCCCACCCTCGGGAGCCTCCTTCCCCTTCCAGTCTTTGGCCCACTTCCCACCACAGTCCGTACCATTAGGAGGAGCCTCCGGCAGAGGACGACACGGTCCCGTCGCTTCCTCGCCAGTGCTGCCTTCGGCCGCAGCGTCACCAAGCCGGAGCTGCGCCATCTCGTTGGGTAGCGGAGCCAGGAAATTTGGCCTGGACGCGTTGCTGGTTTTCTTGTACTTATCGATGAACGTGGCAGGGGCCCAGCCTTCCTTCTCCTCAATCTGAATGTACCACCAGCCACTCAGGTTCTTCTCAATAACCTGCCAGGAGGAGAGGAAACTTCAGACGCGCACGCAGGAGCCCTCTCTGCACAAGAGGGAATGCTGAAATGATGTCAGGGTGGCACATGGCCTCGGTGCCCCTCCATCCTGGTAACCAAAAGCCATGTAATCACAGGACCAGTATTCTAACAGGAGGGGAACCTGCTAACGACCTCTGCCAGGGAAGGGCACCTACGTGCCATGGGGTCAAGGAACAACATAGCCACGTCAAGGAGCTGCAGCTGAGCTGTCACCATCCCGCCCAGGAGACAGGACTGTGATGCCAGGAACTGGCGGTGGCCACTGCGTGGCACTGTTGGAGCGATCAACCGGCAGCGACACCGCATGGATCAGACACCATCCGGCCTCTGCTCACTCCAGAAGTGGGGCTGGGACCTGGGAGGAGCCGACTGGGGCAGCCATAAAGGAAAAAAAATCCTCTTAGAGAGGCACAGCTTATGTTTTGTAAAGCAAAATCACATCTGCAAGAAGGGTTCTGCCAGCAAAAGCGGGTGTGCTAGGAAAGCAATTCTGGAAGGGCCTTTAACTTCACACCTGGCCTAAATAAGATAAAAACACCATCTCTGCCCCTATTTGTGATGTGGTTTTAATTTCCAGTAGCTCAGACAACACAGCACCCACACACTTCGGGGACAGGAGGCCACCAATAGCACCACGGACTCCAAAGTCTCAGGAGCTCATACAGGTTTCTCTCCCACTCTAGGAGAGCCCTGGGATGTTAATGGTCCACAGAGGCAATCGCATGCAGCGCCATGTCCAGTTTCCACCTAGAACGCCAGTAAGCAGATCTTCCCTGCCTGGAAAAGGGAGGTCCTGCCTAAAACAGGTCACAGGACAATTGGAGTCAGGAGCGCTGCACTGATGTGAAGATGTGAGAAGGGAAGATGACAGTCTCACCTCTACTTTCATCCCTGCCTGGAAGCTGATGCCATCAGGGATGGTGGTCTGGAAGTCAGCAATGGTGTAATATTCCTCTTCCACTTGAGGAGGGACAGGGGGTTTAGGTAGGTTCAAACCACGTGGCTACGACAAGAAAAAAGAAAAGACATCAGCATGTTTCTACAGAAGGTGCAACACAACATCCCCACAGCCCACCAGCCTGCAGAGACAGAAGCCAGCATGAGCAGGCCAGGGAGATCAGCTCTGCCCATGCAGCATCCCCACCAACACAAACCAGCAAACCATTTCCAGGCTGAGCAGAAAACTCCTGAGCGCCAGAGCTCTTGCTGACAGCAGAATCACAGAATGGTCAGAGTGTCACCCTCCCCAGAGGGAGGAAGCCAGTCTGCAGCCTCCCACTGGCAACCCAGCTTTGCAGGACAGACTGGCGAAAAGTTCATTTAAAGACCACGTGCAAAGAGAAGAGTCTTAAGACAGTAGGGAGGTGGCACGTGTACTGCAGCCTTGACCCACGGTACGGGGGTACCCTCCCGTCTACATGGGAGAAGAGCCCACGGTACAGGGGCAAAATCCCAGGCAAAAAATAACCAGTGACCAGAGCTCCTTTCAGTGCTCCTCTCTGACTCCCTTTGCCGTCGCTGCTCTCCTACATCAGCGGCACTTACTATGGTCAGATCTCGGCGAGGAGGGGGTCTCTGCCTCATCTTTGGTGACTCTGTAGACGAAGAATTTCAGATGCTGTTGAGTTTCTGGCTTTTGGTCATATGTGTGTTCACAAAAGACAAGTGAAAGAGAAAACAGAAAGGCAAGGGCCAAGCCTGTCCCATGGGTGAGGAAGCCGAAGGAGGAACCTGTCTGCCCAGTACCCTGAGTGGCATGGGTCATCCAGGTTTTGAGGGCATCCCACTGGAAGAGGAACCAGCTTTGCACCATCAGGTGCTGGTGGGAAATGCAGCTGACCACGTGAAACTACTTTATCATTGCAGGCCTGACCCAGAAGACCCAGAGAGGTTAAAAAGCTCCGGCTTCTGAGGAGAGCATCTCCAGTCTGGGAGGGGGAGGCTTTTATCCCCATCACATTTGCTGATCGTCAGCAGGTCCCTGGGCAGCACTGTGCTTGTGCCCCCTCTGCCTGTGTGATGTCACCTTCAGACCTTGCTGCAGAGCTCCCAGCGCCTGCAAGCCTTTGGCCTCCCTCACTCCCCACTGCGTTGCCCAAAAGCCTGCAGG